GTGCGTTGGATGTTAGAAACAATTGAAATAACTGAGAAATAATTGTTTGTATATAACAAAAGGTTGTTGACAATTTGTTATTTTAAGGTTAATTATTTAAGGTTAGGTTAAGTTATGATGTTTAATTGGTTATTATTAATTAAATAAATGTTTTTCGTAACTTGCTTTGATTTTTACATTTTTATTTGAATAGAATTTTCAGAAGAATTTAAGTGATCGAATATAAATTCGATTTATATATCAGATTTTGCACAATAAAATCGAATGACCTTGACTTAGAAGTAACCTATAATTAGAATAAATCTGGATTGTTTTGTGTATTTTTAAATTAACAATAATAGTTATTAGAGTGCGTTGGATGTTAGAAACAATTGAAATAACTGAGAAATAATTGTTTGTATATAACAAAAGGTTGTTGACATTTTGTTATTTTAAGGTTAATTATTTAAGGTTAGATTAGGTTATGATGTTTAATTGGTTATTATTAATTAAATAAATGTTTTTCGTAGCTAGCTTTGATTTTTACATGTTTATTTGAATAGAGGTTTTCAGAAGAATTTAACAATGGAATAACGGTTATAAAACAAAACGTAAATAGTTAGTAGGGACTTTGGTGAGATGCGATCATTGTAACCAGATGCAGCAGTCGAGACCCTCGGCGCAATCCTTCGCTCTCGCGCCCAAATGAAGAATACTTTTTGGACAGTCTTTTACGCATTCTCCTCCAAACGTTGTGCATCTTGATTCGTATGGGACTTTAGAAACAAAAAAAACAAAAGTCAATCATAAACGTCAATGAGAAACAAACGAATTATTGACACAATTGTATAAAAATGAAAAACAATAGAAATAATGTAAGATATTCATGGCTATCTACAATTAATTGTTTATATAACATTTATAAACAAAAACAAATGAAGGATTAGAAAAAAATAGAGACAGACTAGATTGCTATAATAATTTGAAAGCTTATGATTATAATCAAAATTGTTAGATTTTTTTTTTTTACCTTTGTTGCAACATTCTAATCCGTCTTGGCAGAATTGGTCCGTGGATGCACCATCACCGCAGGCGGCTCTGGTGAGGCATTTGCCGCCGATGCGGGCGCAATTATCGTAACCTAAAAAAGCAATCACAAATAAGTTTTATTTGTTTGTGGGGGAAAAACTATGTTGCAAAGACACGTATTATTATATGCACTGTACGTTTCGACTTTCCATTTTCCACAATGTTATTCACCTTAGCTCGTTGCGAACACGAAACCGAACGAAACGGAAAGTGAAAGTCATACGCAACGAAATACTAATTCAAAAACAGAATTGTTACATCAAAAAAATTGTTTAACTAAATATTAAATTATTGTAATTTTAAAATATTTTTATAATAAGTATGTTAAATAATCAAAGTATATATATTTCGTTGCATATTTCATCAAGTGATAAAGAAATTTACAAACTAAAACTATGCACATTCTGTTGATAATAATATAATCTTTGCGAGTGTGAAATATATTTTTGTTTTCAAAATTTGAAATAATTTAAATATAAATTGTCAAATTAAATTGTCAATTATTTTGTTTTTTTTTTTGTTTATGAACATCAGAGGTTATTGACAACGTGCTCGTTGCTACGTTACAAGGTCGATTGCATAATTTGTATAGAAATTAGCGTGGAGATGAAAATAACAACGTTCGTTTTTTTTTACTCGCTGTATGCATCAGTGATCGAATATAAATTCGAATTATTTATCAGATTTTGCACAATAAAATCGAATGACCTTGACTTAGCAGTAACCCGTAATTAGAATAGAGGCGAATTTATGATAAAGAATAAGTTTTTATTCAAATTTGTGCAAATCAAAAAGGTTGGTTAATCTTCAATTGTTTAGAGATATAATTTTATTGACTTGCACAAATCAAGAAATCTTCTCTAATTGTTATTCGTGCATATCATGAAATCTGCTTTACATTCAATTGTTTGGTCATGTGATAAATAGTACAAATTTGTTTTTATTGTTATTGTTGATTTGCACAAATCAAAAAAATATTTTCTTCTTTCCATTATTTTTGTTTCAATGGATGATAAACAATGTTTTTTCTTGGTTGATTTGCACAAACACGTGTTGTTTTTCGATAATTTACAAAACAATCTGCGAAAATCAAGAAGCGTTCCTTAATTTCAATTATTTTATTGTAGATATGTTAAGATCCGCGTTTGTATTTTTCAATTTGCACAAATCAAGAAGTCTTCATTATTTTGAATTGTACTTACAGTTGTTTATTGTTTCAATTATAAACAATGTTTGCACAAATCAAGAAGTCGTCCTCACAATCAATTGTTTTTGTTTGTTTGATATTGTTTTTTTTTTGTTTTATTTTGGATAATTTACAAAACGATCTGCGATAATCAAGAAGCGTTCCTTAATTTCAATTGTTTGTATTTTTTAATTTGCACAAATGAAGAAGTCTTCATTATTTCGAATTGTTTTTTTGTTTTGATGTTTAATAAACGATTTGCAATTCTATAAGTCTTACTTACAGTTATCTAATATTTCAATTAAAAACGATGTTTACACAAATCAAGAACTCGTCCTCACAATCAATTGTTTTTTTGTTTGTTTGATATTGTTAGAGTAACTAGATGTGATCGCTTATTATTTTTGTTTTAATGGATGATAAACAATGTTTTTTTGGTTGATTTGCACAAATCAAGTAATTCTTATTTTTTATTGTTTTGAGATGTTTTCTTCGGTTTGCACAAATCTATGTTTTTTTTGTTTTCTTTTGGATAATTTACAAAAAGATTTGTTTTTGATGGATAATAAATGATTTTTCTATAAGTCTTACTTACAGTTGTCTAATGTTTCAATTAAAAACGATGTTTGCATAAATCAAGGAGTCGTCCTCACAATCATTTGTTTTTTGTTTGTTTGATATTGTTAGAGTAACTAGATGTGATTGCGTCTTATTTTTGTTTTAATAGATGTTTTTTTTTGTTGATTTGCACAAATCAAGATCTATTATTTTGACATGTTTTCTTCGGTTTGCACAAATATTTTGACATGTTTTCTTCGGTTTGCACAAATCTATGTTTTTTTTTGTTTTCTTTTGGATAATTTACAAATCGATCTGCGAAAATCAAGAAGCTTTCCTTAATTTCAATTGTTTTATTGTATTTTATTTTTCATTTTGCACAAATCAAGAAGTCTTCATTATTTCGAATTGTTTTTTTTTGTTTTGATGGATAATAAACGATTTGCAATTCTATAAGTCTTACTCACAGTTGTTTACTGTTTAAATTAAAAACGATGTTTGCACAAATCAAGAAGTCGTCCTTACAATCAATTGTTTTTTTTTGTTTGTTTGATATTGTTAGAGTAACTAGATGTGATCGCGTCTTATTTTTGTTTTAATGGATGATAAACAATGTTTTTTTTTGGTTGATTTGCACAAATCAAGTAATCCTTATTTTTATTTTCTATTGTTTTGAGATGTTTTCTTCGGTTTGCACAAATCTATGTTTTTTTTTGTTTTCTTTTAGATAATTTATAAAACGATCTGCGAAAATCAAGTAGCGTTCCTTAATTTCAATTGTTTCATTGTGGATATATTAAGATACGATACACGTTTCTATTTTTCAATTTGCACAAATTAAGAAGTCTTCATTATTTTGAATTGTTTTTGTTTTGTTTCAATGGATTATAAACGATTTGCAATTCTATAAGTCTTACTTACAGTTGTTTACTGTTTCAATTAAAAACGATGTTTGCACAAATCAAGAACTCGTCCTTACAATCAATTGTTTTTTTTTGGTTTGTTTGATATTGTTAGAGTAACTAGATGTGATCGCGTCTTATTTTTGTTTTAATAGATGTTTTTTTTTGTTGATTTGCACAAATCAAGTAATCCTTATTTTCTATTATTTTGAGATATTTTCTTCGGTTTGCACAAATCTATGTTTTTTTTTTGTTTTCTTTTGGATAATTTACAAAAAGATTTGTTTTTGATGGATAATAAATGATTTTTCTATAAGTCTTACCTACAGTTGTTTACTGTTTCAATTAAAATTTGCACAAATCAAGAAGTCGTCTTCACAATCAATTGTTTTTTTTTGTTTGTTTGATATTGTTAGAGTAACTGGATGTGCTCGCGTCTGTTCTCAAATCACCACTAAACAAACTAAATCTACTTAATACATCCGACCTTCGCTTTTCTACATTCTCGTTCGCGAATCGCGCGCAATTTCCATCTATTACGTATACAAAAACGACTACTACTAGATAAAGCAAAACTTACTTTCGTGATCCGCGGAAATCCCGACGGCCAGGATCAATGCCAAACAGACGACTGTTAGTGGAGACATAGCTGCGTTTTGTTTAATGCTTCGATGTGCACTGCTTACTACCATCATCAAAATTCCACCTTTTATACTGAAACTTATTCACGCGGTAATCCGAAACGGAAGAGCACTGATAACAGACCGCTACTCTCTGTCTGTCAGTCTGCGAACAAACAAAACGGCGAACAAAAAATTAAGTACGCGGAAGAACAATGCACCGAACAATTGATATTTTTTTTTGTTGTAATCCCGTTTTGTTTAATTCGTTGTTCGTTTGTTTAATTGCAACTTTGTTCGGAACCGGCGACTGCGAAGATAACGGAATCGCACGGTTTTTTTTTTAATTGTCCCCCCACGTAGATAGGTGAAAGTTTTAAAAAAAAACACACACACAGAATAATTAGTCTCTTTCTCTTTGTTTTCGCTTCGTGCACGTAATTCGGCACGTGCGGAATATTACGAAATGCTTGCAAAATGCGTCTGACAATGTAGTGTCTTTAAGCTTCCTTTTGTTTCGTTGCGTCGAAACAATTGATTTTTTTGTCAAACTAAAAGAAAAACGACTTTATCATTGGTACATAGAATATTAATTAACAAAAAAAACGATTGTTTCTAAAGAAAAATAATGAATTTGTAATAATATTAATAATTTCCATATTTTTTTTATTAACAAATGGTGAATTTATCGTTTTTTTAATAAAATATATTAAAAATTTAGTAATTAATAATTTGTAAGTTTTATACTAATTATTTATTGGAATTGAGTTGAGCATTGAATTCAATTGTTTCTCATGGATAACTTTTAATTTCTATCATTAACAGAATGAAGTTGAGCATCGAATTCAATTGTTTCTCATGGATAACTTTTATTTATATCATTAACAGAATAAGTTGATCATCGAATTCT